ATAACATCGACTGAGATAAAGAATAAAATGAAATATTAAAAACATGATGTATCTCGCTGCATTGCGCGAGTACGCTTCTATTTATATTATAAAGCATTTGATAAAAACTCTTAAAAACTATTTTTTATTCATTAAGAATTGTTTATTGATGCATATTACTTAAACTTCAAGATTACAAGTACATTATGCGTGTGTACAACTTATTAAAGCTTCACGTTTGAATTCGTGTAACTAATGACAAATAAACATAATCAAATATTAAATAGACATTTCATTTTAAATATAAAAAATCTAAAATATATTTATGATAATTATTATCTTTATAAAAAATTATATTATTAAATCAAAAATAAATGACTTCACTATTAAATTTAAATTAAATTATAATAAAAAATTAAATTAAAGAAATTAAAAAAAAACAAGAACTTTTAAATATTTAATTTGATACTAAAACCGATACATTTTTTTTTCAAAATTTTTTGATAGCTTCAAATTTATATTTTATTCAAAACATAAAAACATGATCGTTTTTTCAATATTATATAAATCAATTGAGACAAAATAAAACAAAACATTAAAATCGAGATGTATCTCATCTGTATTACGCGAATATCTTTTTAGTTTAATTAAAGAATCTGTTGAAGCAAAAATAAATAATAAAATCTTAATTTTCGTTGGATTAAAAAAAAAGAAATTAGAAAAATGGGTGAAGGGGTTTCTTTTTCAGAAGGGTCGTGATGGAGGTCCGGAAAATTGACTGCCCGTTTTTTGCTTACCTGAAAAACCTACGCCCACCACAATGCATAAAAAGCAAAACCCCCTTTTCATTTCCATCCTTCTTCTTCATCAATGGCGGAGGTTTCCTACGCCCTCAATCTCCATGGAGACGATGAAGAAAATGACGACCATTTTTCACCCCGCATCCATGACTGGTCTCAAGATCTCGACGCATTCGACGTTTCTCCTTCAGATCTCGACTTTCCTTCATCCCAACTTTTCCTTTGCCGTCAAATAAGCCGAACCGATCGGAACCCCATCCGTCTCTCAAATGCTTCCAATCCATTCGAAAGAGATAACCAGGTAAATTTCGTAATCGATATGTTTAATCATCGCGTTGAGCAATCGCGTGTTGTTGTGGAGACCGATTTGGTTGATTGTGATCGTGGCTTTGTGGTTGGTGGTGGGAATGAGGATATCGATTCGAACGAATTGGAGATGGATTTTAGGTCAGGGTTAGGGTTTCCTGTGGAATTTCGTAATTGTGATGATGATGATGTTGAAGATGAGGATCATGGATTTATGGTTGCTGATTGTGGCGATGAGTTCTTCGTGTCCAGGAGGACAAGAGGCGGTGGTGTTCGATCCGAATTGGGAGATCCAAATCCAACATATTTCATGGCTGGATTAAGTGTGACCGATTCAGAAGAGGACATTGAAAACGAGATTATTGGGGTGGATGATGATTTTGGTATCTATGGAGGTTGTGATGATGAAGCAAATCTTAGGCTTTGTTGGGATGCTTTTCATCTAGAAGATGATGACCATGTTAGATGGGATGTACCTGCAAACCAACATTTTGATTGGGAGGAAGTGGATGGTCGAATCGATGAACGTGAAGTCTTGAGTATGTTTCTGGATGCAGATACCAACAATCATGATCACAATCATGCCACCGACGATTTGGAGTGGGAAGTTTTCTTGAATTTTCATAATCTTGAAGCAAATCCTGCAAATGCAGAAGCACATAACTATGCGTCTGTTGATGATTTGGAGTGGGAAGTTTTCTTGAATGTTCACAATCTTGAAGCAAACCCAGATTTAGAAGGTCGATTTGAAGATTACAACGAAGCAGAGGACGAGATGTTATTTGGGCAGTTTGTGGATAATGGTGAATCGGCTTTGGTTCAACCACCTGCATCTAAAAAGTCAGTTGAGGGTCTTTTGTCTGTGGTTATGACTCCTGAAAATGTTGAAAGCAACAATGCACTTTGTGCTGTTTGCAAGGATGAAATTGGTGTTGGGGAAAAAGCAAAACGACTTCCGTGTACTCATCATTACCATGATGATTGCATTCTTCCTTGGCTGTGTATACGGAATACGTGTCCTGTTTGTCGCTATGAGCTGCCAACCGATGATCCTGATTATGAACGCAGGAAAGCAGAAAGGATTGCTAGTGATCTCTGAAAAGTGATAAGGGTAGGTATGGTTTTGAAGTTTTAGCATCAGCCTGGTGAACTGTAGATAATGTTCTTGAGAGAAGTTGAATTGAGTTCTGTAGAATGATGATGATTTAAGTGATTATGTTATGTGGGTTTGTTTCATTTACATGACTGCCTAATTGCTAGGTCACTTTTATGGTTTTTTGAGGTCTTTAGTTTGAAATATGCAGCTGTTGAACAATTCAGTGTCATTCCATCTACCTCTAACTTATAGATTATAATTCCAGATTCATATACACATTTCCACTTGTAGGATGACGATTTACGTGATTATGTTATGTGGGTTTGTTTGATTATAAACCAAATCAAACCAGGAGGGGGTTGTTTCCCTGAAGACCTCTGGCTTGTGCAAAGTGTGCGATATAAAAAACGATAAAGAACTTGAAAACAAGAAAGTTAGTGACAAACTTTGGAAAAGGGTATAATATATACAAATAGAGCAGGTACAAGAAAACATAACAAGGGTACAAAGACCGACACTGCCATGCACCGCTAGGCTTAGGAGGCCAATCTGTCAGCTCGCTAACCCTACCCTCATCCTCTACCTCTCTAGATTCCTCCCTCCTGAGTCCTGACTAAGCTAGCTACCGATCTCCACTCCTAGTCTGCTACTCTAGTCCTTCATCTCCAAGAACTCCTACCAGAGGTTATGTTCTCGGAAATACTTAAAGCCTGTCATGTCTAACCTCAATTGCTCATCCCATGTCCTCCTCGATTTACCCCCTCCTCTCAATCCTCACACTTATATGACTGCTTATGCTAGGTCCACTTTATAATATCTTCAATATAACACCTTTGAGTTCTTTAGTTTGAAAAATGCAGCTGCTGAATAATTCAGGTTCATTCTATCTACTTCCTACAAATAATTCTTGATTCATACACCCATTTCCTCTTGTTATGGGAATGTAGATATAAGATTCAACTATATTATGTTAGAGATCAGAAAACAATCTTCTTGTTATGGGAATGTAGATATAAGATTCAACTATATTATGTTAGAGATCAGAAAACAATGTATATGATATGCTGCGAACTTAAGAACTTACCAGTAATCCTCACAGGAGCAGCAACCGTCTCTAAAATGGTGAAAATGTTTGTTGTCCCTCACAATTATCTCCCTGTCAACAGTCTTTGACACCAACTTGATGGCGTTGTGACAATCTTCACAAATGCGCAGATTCTTGAAAATCCTCAGCATTACCCCTTTACCTGTTCTTAACAAGCCGAACGAAACAGCAAGCTTCTCACTGTGACTCCTTAAAATATTTACTTTCTCGTCTTCTGTTAGATCATGAAGTACAGATTTTGTATCTGGTTTATACCCACATTGGTAGATATCCGCTTCTAATCTTCTCCACATTTCATGGATATCAGGAAGAATTTTATCACCAGAAAGGAAGTTATATACTTTCCCTTCTAATTCAATCCAACTACAACCAACTTCCTTCTTAAGCCCAGTTTTCTTCATTCTTTGCCTGATTTTTCTAACATCATCCCAGTTACCGAAACTAGCAAAAAGATTTGATGACAACACATAGTTTTCTGCTTTACTTGGCTCAAGTTGTAATAACTTCTCCGCAACTTCTTTTCCTAACTCCATATTACCATGAACTCTACATGAACTAAGCAATGAACTCCAAATTTTAGCATCGGGTTCCTCAGGCATCTCAGAAATAAGCATCAGAGCATCGTTAAATCGGTTTGCTCGGCCAAGCATGTCAACCAAACACGCATAATGTTCTAGTTTTGGCTCTTCTTTATGGACAGTCTGCATCTCATCAAATAATTTAAGACCCTCTTCGACTAACCTACCATGGTTACACGCCGTTAAGATGGCAATGAAGGTGAAGTGGTCAGGTTTCATGCCAAATCTTTGCATTTCACAGAATAGCTCCAAGGCCTCCTTTGGCCGACCATGAATCGCATAGGCGGCAATCAGAACGGTCCATAGTCCGACGTGCTTTTTATTTGATTGGTCAAAAACGATCTGGGAAGCTTTTATGCAGCCAGTTTTCGCATACATGTCTATGATTGAAGAATTTACAAATACGTCCCTCATGAGGCTTTTCTTTAAAGCAAAACAATGGATTGCTTGTCCCAGCCTTAGAGTAGACAACTGTGAACAAGAACTTAACACACTCATTGTTGCAATCTCATAAGGTTGGATCCCACTGGACATCATTCTACGAAAGAGATCTAATGCTTCATTTGGTTGTTTCTTCTGTGAGTAACCAGTGATCATCACATTCCATGATACCAAATTCTTGTTTTCCAGTTCATCGAATATGAGCTTTGCAAGCAAGGGTTTCCCACAGTGAATGTAAAATGAAAGTAATGAATTACTGATATGTGAATCGGTTTCTAACCTGTTTCTGAGCACAAACCCATGAATTTGTTTGCCATAACTAAGCAACTTGAGGTCTGCACATGCTAAAAGTAGGCTACCGATGCTGTACCAATCAGGGTCGAAGCCAGAAGATGTCATTTTTACAAATATATCTATAGCCTTTGAAGGATCACCATTTTGAGCACAGCCACTGATAAGTGCATTCCAAGAACTTACCGTTATATCTTTCATGCTGTTGAAAACATTCTCAGCCAAACACAACGATGACCCGCACTTTGCATAAGCTGCAATGAAAGCATTTGCAACCAATTCATCTGATTCAATCCTATGTCGAACTGAATACCCATGAAGTTCCTTCACTTTCAGCAGCTGTGAACGATATAAACAAACTTTCAAGACGTTCAAAACTGTGATCTGATCAGGCCTTACACCGTCACCGCCCATTTGCATCTGACGAAGAGATTCAAATGTTTGTTCAACTTCACCTTCTCTAGAATAACCCCAGATGATGGAATTCCAAGAAACAACATTCTTGTTTTCGTTTTTATCAAGAATAATCCGGGCTTCTAACATACACCCACATTTCAAATACATATCCATCAATGCATTTTGAACCATCAAATCCTGATACAAACCCAATTTGACAGCCAAAGAGTGGATCGCTTGCCCTATCGAAACCTCTCTTTCGGCACCACAAACAGGTAGAAAGGTTACCAATGTAGCAACATCTGGCATCAAACTGTCTTCACCAACCAGAAACTCCATGAACAGATCAATACTCTTTCGAGAAAACCCATTGTTTGCAAACCCAGAAATCAGTGAATTCCAAGTGACCAAGTTTCTCTTAGGCATAAACTCAAACACTTTATCTGCATCCTCAACAAATCTAAACTTACTATACATAGCAATCAAAGCATTACCTACAAAAACATCCGACATTAAACCAATCTTCACTGCCATTCCCTGAATCGCCCTTCCAAATCGCAAATTCGAAGTTCCAACACAAGCTTTAATCACGCACGGCAAGGTAAATCGATCAGGTATATGTTCCGTTAGCAAAAACTGGCAAAAAACGAGCATTGCATCAAACCAGAGATCATTTCTAGTGTAGGCACTAATGATTGCATTCCACTGATACAAGTTTTTGTTCTCTAATTGTTCGAAAACAAAACGCGAATCGGAGGGAGATCCGCAAACAGAGTACATTGTAATAATCTGAGTGTTGAGGATTAAATTGTTTCTCAAGTGTGTCGACGACCAAACCAGTTGATGAACTTTCCGGCCGGTTTCGATGTCGTTGTTGCCGCCGCATGCTTGTAATAGTATACCGATTGCTTCCGCGGTGTCTGGCTGTTGAGAATACGAGTCGTTGAGGAAAGTCAGAGCTCCGGTGAGGTTTTTCAATTGGCAGAGACGATTGATGCTTTGAGACAAAGAGCTGGGGTGTCGTCGGCGAGGAAGCTGACATTTTGTGACGTATTTGGTGGTGGTGGAGCGAAGTAAAGGTGGATATGGACGGTGGTTTCCGACGTGTGGTGGTGATGGCATCGTAGCCATGATATTGCCTCCGTCGAAACGAACAACGTATATGAAACAAGTACCGGAATTTTTACATCCGGCCAAATATCCATGTTTTTGCCGTTTTTCATCGTAGATTTTCCAAATATCAAACGATTTAGATAAGCTAAAAAGGACTGTTTGGCGATAAATAGAATCTTTAGTTGGAGGGGTTATTTTCAACTTATTATAAGGTGAAATTGTTAACTTTTTTAAAAACTCTTTATTACTGGTTTGACACCGGTATAAATTGTTTATCCAAATATTTAAAAATGTATATTACCAGTGTCACACCAGAATAAGTCACTAAGTTGTCTTTATAAGCAATTCCAAACACCCCCTAATTTGAAATGAAAATTTGGGTTTATGGAGGAATGAGCTCATTATTTATTCTATTTTATAAATCAGATTTATCAAAATTCTTAAAAACTTATTAATGCATAAAGTACTATACATTTATACACAAAATTTTATAAGTCTTAAAAACAACTCATAATGCATTAAGTACTACTACTTTATGCATTCAGTCTTAAAGTCTCTTAATCTATAATTAAAATAACATATAGTAAAAGTTACCAATGCACATTATTATCTTTTTTTTTCATGTTCTCAAGATACTTTTGACACATTTGACTCATGTTTTCACCCTCTCATACCTCTATGTTTTCTCCTCATCTCCCAATGTGAGATTCAAACTGATATTCACTATGAATTATTAAAAGTTCCATCATTCATCTCTCATTCAATGGCTGTAGAACTCTCGGTCTCGCTTTTCTTTGGTCTTAGTGTAAATCGAACTCATTTGTGGAGTCATTTAAATTTATTGGATTTTAACTGTCATACAATTTTTTTCATCGATAGACTGTAATTGGAACCATAACTCTTATTTATTCAAATTGTATTAATATGTAAAGACCAAATGTAACTTATATCATAACTAAATCTTCTCTAAATAAAACCAGTGAAACTTCAAAATCGTTAAAATTCACGGCTCTAGTCGTATTGCATGGATACACAACTAGTATTATATAATACCAAATAATATCTTTTATTTTCATTCCTATTGATTATTGTTTAATACCTCTAACTTAGGAGGTGCCACTCATAGAGGTAGTTATATTTTTGAAAATTATAAAAAAAAAATGCTAAAAGATGAATTAGAATTTGATCCTTGAAAATGGTTATTTCTATTAATTTCTTCGTTTTAATTTGTTTGCTTATTTTGTATTTGATTTTTTGTTTAAAAGTTAGAGCAGAAATATTTGTATTTTTTTTAAAAATGTAGCTATATCAACCACCTTTTTAATCAAAACTGTTAGATCATCTTAATCTAACAGTTTGAATGAGATTTCTGTTTTTTTCAGAGTTCTCTAGTAATTTCATCTGTATAAAGTAAATATGAAAAAAAAAATTTATTAATATAAATTAATAAATTTATGAAAGAGAAATATGATGTCATTTAAAAAATGTATTTTTTACACTAAAAATATGTTTATATGTACACTTTTCCAAGGTAGCGTTTGGTATGCAAACATGATTGAAGAGGACTAGACATTACAGAATTGGACATGACAAGAGAGTAGGATTGGACGGGACTGGACAGAGTTTGTTAGGTTTTTGGTACGATAGGACTGGATATGACAGAACTAGACAAGTTGTCCCAAAGTCATTTGATGATTTTATATATCATATAATAGTTATAGTTAACGCAAATAAAGTAGCTAATCACATAATCTAATTTATAAACATTTTTACATAGTTTTTGTATACATAAATGCATACATACATAATAGTACCAAAGTTGAAAGAAAATTTTGATACAAGTGATGGTAGTTTGAAAAACCCGATTCATGCAAAGAAGGAATTATGTTTTATTCAGTTTGGAAAATTTTATTCAGTTGGCGAAGGCATGATGAAAATTGTTGTAACGACAATGGTTGCAGATGTAGAGGCATTGGTGATTGGTGGACGATAGTGGTTGTGGACGACGTGAGGATGGTGGATAATAGTGGTGGTGGGCGGTCGATGGTGGTAGAGGTGGTAGTTGTAGTTGATGTGGTGGAGGTGGTTATGGTAGAGATGGTGGTGGTGGGGGTCGGTGGCTGACGGTGGTTGTGGAGGACATGAAGATGGTAGATAATGGTAGTGGTAGCCAATGGTGGTGGTTATGGTGCAGGTGTGGTGGTTATTGTAGTCAATTTAAGCAAATATATTCAAAATATGCGTTTAGATGTTTATATGATTTATTTAAAATATATATATTTCACAGGTATTTTCTTAATATAAATATTTATTTAAACTATAAACTTTTAAATTTCATTCCTTTTTATGAATTACCAAAATGTCACTCTATGAGTGATATGTCCGCAATTTACGAAGGGGTCAAAGTTTAAAAAAGAAAGTTTTTAAATCAGGTCTCCAATTGGGATCAAATATGTAAATTAATGTCCGATGCATTTTTCAAATTTACATATTTGGTCTTTGTAATTACAGACCTGGTTCATAAACTTCTTTTTTATATTTTGTCCCTTCCGTAAATTACGGACTTGCCACTTACAATAACATTTTGATAATTTCTGGAAAGAAATGAAAGAAATAAAACCATATGGTCAAAATGACTATTTTAATTAATTTACTTATTTTTAACCATAAATTTTTAAATAAACATTCCTCTATTTATTAAAACATTCTCTAAAATGAAAATGGAATAAAAATCCAAAATAGCCAATTGAGGTTTCACTTTTGGCCACTTTTACACCTCATTTCGACTTTTAGCGGTTTCTCAAGCATTTGTGTGCAACTTTCTTTTCCATTTAAAAATAGGTGGCTAAGAGTAAAAACCAAGGCTTTATGCATAATTGTTTTATGTGTAACTTTTTGATTGAAAAGCAAACCTTACGCATATGCACAAAGTTTATACGTAAAACCATAAGGGTGGTGTTTGATTGGTTTGAGTTTGACTCTAAATATCAAAAGTATCAGGAGATCTCAGGTTCAAATCCAAGAAGGAATAAAAATCCTCTTGTGCATATGCATGAAGTTTATACGTAAAATCACGAAAGTGGTGTCTGATTGGTTTGAGCTTGACTCTAAATGTCAAAAGTATCACGAGGTCTCAGGTTCAAATCCAAGGAGAAATAAAAATCCCTTTGTGGCCACGAATGTTCAAATACGGTAACTCCGGACTATCTACAAAACAGATGGTCGCCCTGGGATTAATCGGCTCGCATAGTAGGTTGGATATCCAGGTTAATCAAAAAAAAAAAATTATACGTAAGAAATAGTTAAAAGTCGAAATGAATTACAAAAAAGGTTAAAACGTGAAACCCCTTGATAGGATTTGCTATTTTAGTCAATTTCCCATAAAAATATGAGACAAACTCAATCTCGAGATTGATTTGTGTCTCATTTGTAAAGATGGTCACGAACCGATTTAAAAAAAATTGGTTGGGTCAACACGACCCAAACCGAAAAAAATGCGATCATGTCAAGACCATTTGCATCCGGCAAGTGAAGGATCAATTGACCACCTCTATTCATCAACACTTAAAAGGACAAAAAAAAAGTGTATATATATATATATCAATTTTGTTTGGTAATGTAGTGAAAATAACACATCTATTTGTAAACATATACAAAGTTACATCCAATATTGGTTTCAATCGAAATGAGGGGCTGAAATCAGAGAGAACTTAGATAGTCTTTTAACACATCAAAAATGGGGTTTGCAAATGACGATCCTTCCGATCTTTGAAACATGATTCCATCCATACGCGCTTGCACCCCGTCACTTGACGTCAAACCGTCCAGCAGTTGCTTTAACGTTGTGTCTATTCCGATAACCGAGCTCCCTATGCCGCTCAGAATTTCAGGTAAAGATGGTGACGATTTCGACAGCTCCACCAAAGTAACCTGGACACGATCGGTAACAAATAGTGTTACCACAAACATATCGGTTTCTGTTTGCTAGATTACAACTTGTTCAAGGGAATATAAAATACTCCAAAACCAAACAAAACGAAACCCAGTGAATCTGTGTATCCCACACAAAATAGGGTCTGGAAAGGATAAGATGTATGCAGACGTTACATCTATCCTGAGGGGTAGATAAGTTGTTTCCTGAAGACGCGCAACTTGTGAAAAGGTTTAGAGGATATGCATTTGCGAGAAAATTTTGGTTGCAAGAGCTTGAAGGAGAATGAATAAAAATCAATTATTAACCCTTCCTTGATTCTCCAATCAAATTTCAACATGTATAAAAAGGTAGGGGATGCTTATGTACAGGGAGTTTGACTCAAATAGCCGTTTCATCCATTCAAATAGGTCTCCTAGCCATTCCTCTCCTAGCCATTCCTCTCCTATCCATTTACCCAAATGTCACTACGTCCGCAATATTGTGGACCTAGCTAAAAGACAGAAAAAAACTATCAGAATCAACCCAGGTACACAATTGTGACGGCCAGGACCACAATTGCGATGGTGCCACTTGCTAACCTGATCGAATTTGAATTTTTGTTTGTCTTTTAGCCAGGTCCGCAATATTGCGGACGTATTGCAGATGTAGTGACATTTGGGTAACTATTGCAGATTGCAGATGTGGATATTGCGGATGTAGTGACATTTGGGTAAATCTGGAGAACAATGGTTAGGAGACCAATTTGAATGAGTGGAATGGCTATTTGAGTCAATTTCCCTTGTGTAAATGTAGGGGGAGTGCATATATATAAATTAAATGGTATTGAAAGAGAAAAAGATGATGTGTTAACATCTTATTGGAGGGCATATGGAAGAAGTAACACCAAAGACCAGACAAAATATTTCATTTCCATAACCACCTTATACTTTCCCAAGTTAGAACACATGAAGTCTTTCCATCCAATGAAAATTGCAACATTTCCCATTCTGGAACACCAACTCGACTCCAGAAGCAGTATTCAAAATTGCATCATAGTACAATGTGATTTTTAGACCATCTGGACATTTATATTTTAGATAAATCGAACAAAATAGCTAATCTTCCTATTTGAATTCACTTTTTAGTCATTTTTTCAATCAAATTCTTATTTTAACCGGATTTTTTTCAATCAAATTCTTATTTTAACCGGAGTTTACGTGAATGTCTTGTACATTTGTGTAAAGCCTATTTTCAGATTGAAGAAATCTTTACACAAATTTGTGTAAGGATTCCTATTTGGCGTAAAGAATCTTTTTTCTTTTTTTAATCTGAAAATAGGCTTTAAGCAAATGTGTAAGACGTTTGCATAAACTCTGGCTAAAATGGGAATTTGTTTAAAAAAATGACTAAAAAGTGAATTTAGTTGTAGATTGACCATTTTGATCAATTAAAGTACATAATAAATTCTTAAAATAATATGTAGCTAATAATGTAGGAAGTATAGTAGGAGTCAGTATATTAAAAAAAAACATTCCCTACATTAATTTTATACAAATTACTTCCTACATTGATTTAAATTTAGGAAGTATGATTGAAGATATGCTCTTAGATTATTACAATTATTACTACTTTCTTTTTCTTTTTGCAACCTTTCTAGATCATTAGGAATTGTCGTTCGGGGCTAATAGAACCAGGGTGTTCACCAAAACGTGCGGTTTAGAATTTTAGCTGTATGGTATTTGGTTTATATTTTAAAGGGCAAATTGCATGAAAAAGTAACGTACCTTAACTTGATTTCTATTTTGGGTAATGTACTTTTAAAACTTCCATTTTGGTACCTAGGATGTAAAGTTTTAAATATTTAAGTACTCGGGTAACAGGTTGAAGCATTAACCGGTTATCATGCTAATGTGGCGAGCGATGGGATGAAATTGGGTTGAATAGCAAATAAATTGAGTTGGATACCACATCACTCGCCACATCAGTATGGTAACCGGTTAATGCTTCAACAGGTTACCCGGGTACTTAAATATTTAAAACTTTATATCTTAGGTACCAAAATGGAACTTTTAGAAGTATGTTACACAAAATAAGAATCAAGTTAAAGTACGTTACTTTTTTCATGCAATTTGCTCTATGTCGTTTGTAGGTTTGACTTGCCATACTATGTTTTAATCCGCACAACACCGCAATTGTTTTTATTAATAATTATATATACAAGTATATATTTACTAAATAATCATATATAAAAAAAATATAATTCACAACATTTATCTACCATTATATATGGGAAAAGTTCAATTGGAAACCTTTCACTGTGAACCAGGGGATAAATGAGTGGGTCACGTGTCCCCATTTATCGTGAATAATAAAATATGAATTATTCGCAACATTCATGAAGAATTTCTACACCATTCATGGTGAATATACCATGAATGTCTAGAGAGGGAATGTTTTCAGTTGTTGGAGTACGACTTTTCATTTCCTGTTCGGTCTTAATGTGGAGCATTCACTTTTGTCCCCCCGGTTCACTACAGAAGTTAGGTTCGCAACTGAATCTGCCCTTAACGTATATAGCCCGATAAGACCAATAATTATATAGGGTTGGGTTCCGGACTCCTGGTGAGAATGGAAGTTATGGTAAGAAGGGTAAGAAGAGATTTCCAACCTTGAATCAATTCTAATTGAAGATCAACACTAAAGAGATGTACCAGATTAATTCTCGTGATAATCGTAATTCATGGAGCGGATTGAGATTAAAAGTGATCAAGGGTCCAGATCCTTTCTTACCCTTTTCACCTTAACTCCTATTCTTATCTTTCGTCTATTATATATATATATATATATATATATATATATATATTGAGTCGGGTTCATACGAGAATGATGCATATTTAAGAAAATGAGAAAAAATGGCCAAATCACATGTGATTTTACACTAACATCACGTGTAAAATCACATGTGATTCACGCGACTTTGCCCCACAACTGACGTCACGACCAAAGTCGCCCATGCCCCCTTTTCTGCCTATTAATGTAAAATCACATGTGATTTTGTATGTAATTTGGTCATTTTCTTATTTTCTTAAATATGTCTGATATATATTATGCACCTTTAGCCTTTTGATGATCACAAATCGCGAATTGAGATTCCTTCTCTCATCATTTCCCATTTCAAGTTTAAACCGTAATCGTAAATAATACGAGTACATGACTACACTTCCCATTTTCTCGCTTCCCTCTCTTTTCATTATGTAACTTCTTATTCTGTGTAACCCTTTATTGCAACTTTTTTTTGTATGAATTACGACTCTCTTGTTGCAACTTCTAATGGTATGGGTTACGACTTCTTATTGTACAAATTGTGACGCAAGTTGCATTAGATAAAACCCGCAAAAGACCGCACCGCACTACACTTTGCAGCACCGCAGTCTGCGGTTTGGGAAAATACTCAACCCGTATATGCGGTGCAATGCACAGCAAACACCCCATGAGAACAGAAATGGAACTGACCTGCTTGTCCTGAGGTATGTTGGCCATCTGTTTCGCTATAGCAACAGCACGTGAGAACCCTCCAATTGCATCGACTAAACCCCGTGAAGCAGCATCATTACCGGTCCACACTCTCCCTTGAGCGATCTCCTCCATTTTATCCACCTGCAGCATAATGACTCGGGTGCTGATTGCATAGCCAACAAGTACTTAAATATCCAAAGTATCTACTCGAGAGACTACATACACTCATTGATCTTGAAAATGCTGCCTTGTTTCGAAATTGTTTATAAGAATTCTGGGCAGATTCCGCAAAGAGTTTTTCCTCATCTGGGCTGCACACGAATTTGCAAATTGGTTAGAATCATAAGAAATACTCCCTCCGTCCCAAAATAAATGTCCGCAAAGAAAAAGGCATACAGTTTTAGAAATGTGTAATTGTTACACTTTTTATTTGACTAAATAACAATTTTACTCTTAATAATAGAGGGAGTAATGAATTTCTCCATCTCATAACTAAGGTAGAATTAGAAAGTAGATACTTATTTTGTGACAAACTAAGGACCTGTTTGTTAGCGGCTTAATGATCTTAATGGGACTAGCAACTTATTCGGTTAGCTATATATGATAGTTTGGTAATGGCTTAATAATATAGGAAGTGGCTTATTCAGTAAGCTTCTAAGGGGACCTTTATGCAGAAAGTCAAGTTTTTTCAAAATCTGCCCCACCAAATTAAAAAGCACGCCCCTTCCATCTATGAAAAAAACCCTCCAAGCAAAGCCTTCCCAATCTATAAAGACAACTTTATCCATACATGCCTTAATAGAAAACCAACCAAACACCCCTAAAAATAGAGACATGGACACTTATTTTGGGACAGAGGGGGTAATAAGAATCAAATAGCAACTGTAATTTATTTATGAACAAATTGTTCAGTACAAGAAATAAATGAACCTTGGCTACAAGAAATTGTCAGGCAGTCAGATAGAAAGAATTCAAGGATCCTCTCACCTGAATGGCCGCTGGTCAGCAGCAGTCAACTCAGCGTATCGTCCCTTCGATATGATTTCCTTGTTGAAACCAATCCTTTCATATAGTTTGCCCAAATTGAACTTACCTACAACAAAATAAGGATAAACAAACAACCTGGAACAGTCGAACATCCTGAAAAACATCTAGAAACTTCCATTTTGTTCACCGCATACAACAAACACGGACTTTCCGATAAGAGGAGGAAATCATTCCAAACTGAATGCACCTAAAAAAACGAAGAACTGTAACACAGAGCACAAAATAGGCTGTTCACTTATTTACATAGCAATTGCGGACAGTGGCTAATCATTGACGCAGTTTTAAACTTGGAAATTCTGAACGATGCTAAGAGTCCAAAAAATGACATCAAACTTCAACATTCTTTTTGTTAATACCGATGCCTAAATTTCCTTATCGAGCTATTGAAGTATTAACAAGTGTAACAAAATCTACTCCCTCCATCCCAAAATAAATGTCCACATTTCTATTTTAGTTTATTCAAAAATAAGTGTCCACTTTCAAAAGTAAGGGGCTGTTTGGTTGGTTTTTCATCAAGTCCTGTGTGGATAAAGTTGCTTGTATTGTTAAAGTTGTCTGTATAGATCTAGCTAAATTGTTGTTCGGTTGATGTGCTGAAGAAACAATCCGAATGATGAAAATGACTATTTTACCCTTGGTTTACATTGAACATTATAGATCAAATTTCACAAAAAAACAATATTCTACCCCTTAATTATGATATGGAGAAATTCGTTCCTCCCTCTATTATTGAGGATAAAATCGTCATTTTAGTTAAATAAAAAGTGTAGTAATTACACATTTCCGGAACTATGTGCCTTTTTCATTGTAGACATTTATTTTAGGACAGACCAGTAAATAAGAAGAAAAAAATTTACAGGATAGTGTACCAACCTGTGACAACACCAATTGAACCTGTCAAAGTAAGGTTCTCCGAGAGTATAGTTTGTGCAGCCATTGCCATGTAGTATCCTCCACTAGCTGCCACATCAACCATTGATGCAATTACAGGCTTAGATGCAGCCAATAGTCTGATTTCCCTCCACATCCTGCAAAAAATAAATATAAAGGGGGTGAGGGAATTACTTCGTCTAGTGAGAGCATAAATCACATCACATTATGAACAATTATTTTAACAACCAGAAAAAAATTGTGAATGTTACTTGCTACACCCTGCATTATGTATGATATATTATAAAGGTTGAATAAATTATACTTTTCTGGTCCAAATAGAGAAGCACTTACAAGTCGGAAGCAAGAGCATCACCTCCAGGGCTATCAATTCGGATGATAACAGCCTTATACCTTTTTGACTCTGAAAAACATAAATAAGACTAGTCCATAAACATGAATCTACCACAAAAGTACGAAAAAGATTCTCTCAATGCATCCCTCATTTTCAAAGCTGTATGTACGAGTCATAATTCTTTGTATGTGTTTGTTTTCCTTTCCCTTTTCCTTTTAGCCTAACATTGATCGTCGAATACAAATTTTTTCACATCTGTGCACACATGTGGGGTTCCATCTTTCATAGATATTTCATGTTTATTTAGCTTTTGATGTTAATATTTCATAGTTGATAAATATTAGAATGTTGTTACATGTTAAATGCATAATATGTTCCTTCTTAATGTCCTTTTAGGGTTTTATGTCTCAGCAAGAAATCAAGCGTTCAAACCTCACCGAAGGTGAGGAGGGTGCATGAGTTCATTTGCCATATATATACATATAATACTTCAAGAAAACAAAAACAAAGATTGGCCCACTTTGTGGCCTATGTATTGTTATTTTCCATCGATAATAAACAATTCTTCTTGTATCTATTATTTTACACTACCATTAGTCCCAACAGTTGCATCTAAAAGGATATACTTGCTTTGGCCAAAACACATTCAATCACCAGTCTCACATTACAGCTGATCATGATAAGCAGACAATGACAATCCTTGTAATCATAGAATTCTATGACAACACGAGACTACCACAAACAGTTCTGGAATCTGGATGCTTGCTTTCTTAAAAAGTAAACTATATATCATACACAGAACTATTAGCCTGAATCTCCAACGGTATTTGACAGTTAAGTATCTGTTATACCCAGGTCAAATAGTCAAGAGTGGTAGGCTGGGTCAAGTAGTCGATAGTTGTACGCTTGATCAAAGTGTACAAGCATTTAAGGCATCAGTACAAGTAGGAGATGCAGAGTTAGAAAGGCAGTTAGCAGCAAACAGCAATATAAATAAGGAGCTGAAATGAGGGAAAGGTATAGATCATTTCTGTGCGTGTGTTTTAGGCGAAAGCCGTGGAGAGTACTAGGCCTCTAGAAAGCCAAGAAAGCTATCTGTAGTCAACTGATTTCTTCTGTCCAATTTCTTCTCAAATGGCAATCGATTTACTGTGAGTGCTTTGACTTAACTGTTAATTGCCAGTGTATATCAGGATCATTAACTCTAGCCCAACAAGCGAAGATCCTAACAATGTTAAGTACCAAAGATCTATTTCATTTGATACAAGCTACCAAAATGTAAATCTCGCCAAGCATTGATTACATGGGAACTGAAGACAGGTAAGTATGTAGTGCACAACTGCATATCACAACCAGTTTTAGATTGAAGTTAAAGGCGTATGATTGCAAGCTTTTTCCTTGTCATTTGTTACCACAAGTTTCAGCTTAAAATCCAGCAAATGGGAGATGTGCTAAATAAATAGAGATAACAGATAAGTTGGGAAGCAGTAAATGATGCTGGCCTTTTGGATTGTACTTATATAATATAGTGGTGACAGGTAAATTTTCAAAGGGTCGGGTATATTTTGGACCTTTTTAGTAACATATGAACATAATCATTCAAGGCACAGAAAGTGCTACCTTGATTATAAATAGTTGTACACATAAGGAAGTTGATGCAAAGCCGGTCTACATTCCAGGTTACTATACAATCATTATGTATTTTATTTTGGTCCTTTACAGTATACCTTTCAAAGAAAAAGGAAACTATATGATATAATGTACCTCTTACAGTGCGGATCTTCTCAATGAATTGCTCAGCAATGATGCCTGAACTAGGTGAACTAAATGGCCCTCGTACACGACTGATGCTACCTGAAGCTCTAATTACGGCTATTCGATCCCTGCCACCTGATAACCCCAAGGTCCATTTTCTAACTCTCGAGTATTTCCTGGAGCAAGGACAATTAGGTAGTCTATAAGTTATTTGGTGGCAAGCATTCAAAAATGTGTTACATGAGATAGACGTGTGTATCGAATCATAGACAAATACAACTCTTTAGCGGAAAGAAATGCTTATAAGATTACAATGATTCTAAGTGGTCCACTGCCACTAGAATATTAATGAGTGGGCATGTTCTCAAGTGCAAGTTCGTGGGTAGTGGCCAACATGGTAGGCTAACTTTCTACCCTTGAACACAGATAGCAAGTGTAAGATTGCATGTTGAAGTATTGCGTTGTTACTTGGTACTAGCGTGGTCAGACTGAGCGTATTTTAAGTACAACTATCCATGAGTGATGTATACATCAAGTACAAGTATGCAGTCATTATGAGTATACTCGAATGAATATTTTATACATATGATGTGGTCCATTATGCATGCTACAACCTTCAAGATGCACATCTATCCCTTCTTCAGGATAATATGCAAATATATATATATATATATGCGTATATATGTTGTGTGTATGAGAGAACTTCTATAAATAGAATACTATAACAGCAACATAAGACAATAATCACATCTCAGGATTACTAGAAGAAGGAAGCAAGGTAGAGGGACTAAAGAAAAGATAGCTCTCAAATGCTAGAGACGATGCTACAAGCAGAAGGCACCAACATGCTACAAATTGAATGCTAAGATGGCAAAATAGAATAATATTTGCATCTAAATATAACTGTAATAAAGGTGTGAGGTAGAGAAACTTCAGGGAGATATGGTTCTCAAGTACTAGAGATGATGATGCAAGAAGAAGAAGCAACATGCAAAATCTGGAAAAAATGAAAACTATAAAAGAGAGATCTTTACTTGTAATCAACAACTGGGAGTTTTTTCTCCTCCACAATGCCCAATTTTGTTTTCAACATAGATGTAACCTGAAAAGGTTACCGATTACCAGCCATATATCTGAAATGGTATATCTATCAAAAACCAAGAGTGAGGTCTACACTGCACTAGAACTACCTTTGTAATAGATGAAAGTGCAAACCACAATCATCAATAATCAAGCTTTTAAACATTTTGAACTCCAAAATCTATTAAATGGCAGAAGTTAGGAAGTGATTTCTTGAATGATAATGTTCCATTACTAAAATAAGAAGCCTGGATATGTTATTTTCCTGTGCATACCTCATCATCATATTTTATATCGGTTATCCATCCATCTTCTTTCAACTTCTCTACTTGGTAAACTCCATCATTAATAAAACTCTCAATGTCTTCCTTTTTCTTTCCTGTAAAAGAAACAATCCAAACTGTTCACTTTGATACATCAAGACTAGGTAAAACCACAAAGTAACTACACCTTTGGCTTGAGAAATCTTATCGACCCAATTCCCATAGATGTTATCTACCAATGTAGTAAGCACCTCGCGATTTTCTTCGGATATATTCTTGCGCATCAGTTGGTCACCAGCACTCTTATATTTACCAATCCTCTGCACTTGTGGTTGCACGCCTACTTTCTCAAGTACACCTTTATGCACAGCACTTCGGTTAAGTTTAGAAGTGGTTCTCGAGATTTGATAGATCTAGGTATATTATATATACATGTAACTATACTTCTTTGTGGAATGACACTGTCACGCTGAGAGATAAAGTACTTTGGCATTTTGCTCTTGTAATATGTCAGAAATATTTAGGGGCTGTTTGGTTTAGGTAGGGGAATGAAAATGAAAATGACAGAGAATGAAAATGGGAATGACTTTTCATTCCCCCAGTTTAACCTGAAATGAAAATTTGGCCTTCTGAGGGAATGAACCCATTATATATAAAACCAAACTGTTTCTAACCCATTATCATTCCCATTGATTATTTCTTAATACCTCTAACCAAACACCCCCTCAGTTTTACCAACAGATTTAACGATGATATATAGCTAAAATGAGAAATTAGCTGTAAAGAACTCAACTAATAAATATCGAACACCCATTATCCCCAAGTAGCCCCAACTGATCATTTGCAAATTGCACATGCCAAAAGTAAATTGCTCATATACCCCATAGTTATTGTATTTGTTATTGATAAAGACTGCAATATAAATCAACTTGCAGTTTTAGATTACTGGAAAACTTATCGAGTAAAATCTTCTTTATACTTCACAGTCCTTTTTGTACAATTCCATATAACTACAGTATATGTGAACATGAACTTGTAATTCAGCTGAGAAAAGCACTATTAAAACTTTTTTTTTATTGGCAAGAAGCACCAATAACAGGGACAACTGTATATCTCACTCTGCTGACTCATAAAGCTTGAGCTAAAATGTAATAAGTGTCAGTTTTTTACCTCCAAGAAATGATGCTTGAGCAGATAAACCATACAACGAAAAGTAAGCACTTGGTGGGGCGTACAGCTCTTCACAGGCACACCCAAGGTAATACTCCTTTTCACTCCATGTAGGTGCATAACCAATAATGAACTTCCCTAAAATGAATTGTCAATGTTAATAGATGCATCAGAAGTTCAGAACTATGCTAGTTGAAAATTTACTGATACAATGCAACAGGCAAATCAGATGGTGCTTAATAAATCAACATTTAATCATCTAGAAGATACAGATAACTGCATAACAAAAAGGGAAAGAAGAATACAAACTTAATCTTATTTTATATGGGTGCACCATGTAAAATAATCAATATTCTTAAAGATAAGGAAAAACTACCTGACTTCCTAAAATCCAAAATGTGCCTTCGAATTTCTTCAATTTTACCCCATCCACAATTCAAGGTCTCGATGTGGAGATAAACACCAGATATACGAGGATCATATGCTGCTTTTATTAAGTTTTCACATATTTGAGGTAGCGATAACCCTGAAGAGAAACGAGTCTTCACCTGATCAGATATCTGAAATCGACAACAGTAAAAACTTAATTTTCATCATCCAATACTTTTACTCATATATACAATAATGTAATATCAACTGCTAATGGAACCCATACATAATAATGAAGACTTTGCATTGATCCCCACACAACCAAACTTCTTTTCACGCCCTAAAAAAAGCTACTGAGTTTCAAGTTCTAGATCCAAACTTCCAACCAAGCATGGATTCCATCAGATAGTTAAATAGTGATCAGGCTACATATTGGAAACATGTAGGTTTCAACTGAAGCCTGAACGACGTTATTTAACATAGAGCGTTTCCATCTATGAACATACATATTTAACATGGTTGTATAATTCATGTTCGTCTTGAGTGAAAATTTTAATGTTCTTCCATGTAGATCAAGTTGAGTAAAATGGTTTTGTCCTTTGCTGTTATATAAGTCTAGGGGTTGTTTGTTTACCTCTTAATAGTTCCATTAAAAGGCAGTCTCCGAATCGTTAAGAGGTAAATCTTGTTCGGCAAAAAAAAAACAGTTTGCCTCTAATGGTTCTAATACCCTCGGCTCCCTTAACCATTCGGCTTCCTAATTTCATTGTAAACAATTACCAAATAATTATATTTCATTTTGTACTAAATCATAAGATCCTATTAATCATCCACAGCTTAATCATTCTGCATCAAACCATTAAGCAACTGCCAAATAGTGGAACTAATAAGAAGTAAACAACATACCAAAATGAGCAAGAGATACAAACAAATGAACTAAGAAAAAAAAGCTCACTAATTTATCAATCACGATTGAACATCTAAGAACTCGACATACAAGCAAGTTAACAAGGAATAAGGGGATTCAAAACCACCAAACCTGGCCACGCAATTTCATTTCCAAAACACTACCCTTGCGAACACGTTGCCATGGATAAGCAATAAGCATGCGTAGCTTCACCACGAAGCTCTTCCACGCACCTGGACTTTCAAACTCAAATTCTCCACTAGGATAATCACCATCGCCTCTTAAACTGCCATTATTATCGAATTCCGACTTGAACTCGCTTTTATCTTCCTGATTCTCTGACAAAACGTCATCACTTTTGGTATCCGATGAGGAATCAACAGCTCGAACGGAAATGCTCCGATGAAGTTTGGGACGACAATAGTAGGTAACGGAAGTAAAATGCGGAGGGAAGAAGATAGGGGAGGAGAGATGAAGCTGCGGCCGTGATTTGGTGAGGATGGCAGCGGAGATGTGGACGGTGGTGGCGAGAAACCTAGACATCCGGTGGCGGTTTCAGACGCCGGCGAGAGAATCAGATAGAAAAGCGTAGGGAGGTGGCGGAGGAAGAAGCATGGATTGGAAATCCACCACGTCGTCCAATTTATTCCCAAAAAATTCAACCTTCTTCGATCACAATATCTTTTGGGATATGTGACACGAACACCTTTTTTACAATTCAAACTTCAGCAAAACACTGTTCACGATGTTATTGTCGTCTTGTAGTTTTGAAACTGCAAGGACAAACGTGTTAATTCAACAAAATACAAGGACCAAATTTGTCACTTATTCAAAATCGAATAATAACCGGATCCGACCGAATCAAAACCGTTTGTGTTTGTTAAAAACTTGTAAAAACTATAAATTTGGTCCCTGGGGTTTGTCAAAAATAACATTTTTCTCCATTTAGTTTCGAAATTATGCAATCGCCATCATAGTTAATAAATACGTCTAGATTTAGGGGATGTTTATCAAACACTAACTCGGTAAGTGTTTACGATAAATTTTAACACTATTATGTATTTACCGGATAAGATTTTAGTCCACAAAAACGACATAGTATACAATAATTTACCCGGTAAGTGCTTACAATGGTAAGAGTCGTCGCCTTCACTTACCGGGTAAGACTCTTGATCCTTGTCTCGCTCTTACCGAGTAAGAATTTTGGTCTTTACCATATTCATCCAGTGAGGTAACGTGACTTGGTAAGCGCTTACTCGGATAAGCGTTTGGTAAACGGCCCCTTAACCATTTATCTAACAGCCGTTAAAAACTTTCATCAAATGAGGGGTATTTCCGTTCTTTTATTCAGCTTTTGATTGGGTAAATAAAAAAAAATTGATTAAACAAAACGAAAATACCTCTTATTTGATGGATCTTTTAACGGTCGTTAGTTAAAATGACAAAATCCAGATATTCGTCACAAACCATGATGATAATCTTGTAATTTCAAAATTGTTATTTTTAACAAACCATAATAACCAAATTTGTAGTTTACCCTGAAAATTTCCACAGATTCTCAACTTTTTTACAAAATCACAATTTTTCCGTTAAAAAAAAGTTATATTTAACTCCAACAGTTTTATATTTTTAAAGACTACGATATTAATTATATTATTAAAATATTTTATATATTTAATAAAATATTATTTTTATGTTCTAAACATTTTATTTTAAGGTTTCTTATTTGTGAGTAATTATTTTTTGGAATTTTTTAAAATTTAAATATTTTTACCCCTTCTTGCATTTTCTACATTTTGGAGAAAGCTTCTGAAGAATCTGTTGAAACAAAAAATCTGTTCAAAATCCCAAATTTCCATTTCTCCATCTTAGAGAATATGTTATAAATGCTGTTAGAGCATTGTTTCTTTTAAAAAAATTGAGATTTTGCTGATATTTATTTTGTTGACCAGTTTTACATTTTGTTTCTTTGGACCGAGAAGAAACAGATTTGGCGAGAAGAGGATTGTACCGTCTGAGAAGTTTTCAAACATACAACATGGATTCTGAAAATGCAATGTAATCGGACTCTCACATCAATCTGAATGAATTAAGTGTGATTTTGGGTCAAAGACCTTCCAGCCTAGTGGTAAAGGCTTGGGCATGGCATAGTCATGAACCCGAGTTCGAGCCCTGGAGGGGAGTGTTGGCGACATTTAAGTGAGGTCATGTTTAGCCTCCAAATTTGCCGGGGATTAGTCGGGCTTTGGCCCGGACACCCTTACAAAAAAAAAAGTGTGATTTTGGGAAAAAAATAATAATAATTGTATTCTCTATTGTGGAGTAATTATAGTTGATTTGTTGCAGATGCTCTTAGGATCTCGGTTTTTTGTTTGATTCTCGATTTGTGATCATTTAGGTTATAATCGATTATGAAACCGGTGTTTCTTTTTCCCGCAAATTCGAAACTACGTCATTGTAAGTTTATATTTTTCAATTTAAAACACAAGTATGTATTCAGTTCACGTTTGATTTGGAGGCGAACCTAATTTTAAACCGAAACCAAATTGTTTTACATTATTTTGGGTTTTTTGTTTTGTTTTTTTTTATTTTTCTAATTTTAATCCATCCAGATGCACACCCCAATAAGTTCTGGAATAATACAACCAGAAACTTGAACATCTGGGTTTTATCAAAATAAACTATTTGAAGGGGATTGAAACCTCGTTAAGTTAGTCAGCTCATTCTCGCGCCAATTTTTATTAAATATAACTAAAATGATAAAAGGGGGACATAAACCAAAACCTCGTATAACAAAAATAAAATATACCACCTAAAACAATGTCTTCGTGCGTTTTTTGAAGCAAAAATACCAGTCATTTTATCATAGTTAATATTTCTTAAAGTTTACTCTCGAAACTCAAAATTGCTAACCCGTCATCTTTCTTTTCTTAACTCATGGTACACAATGGATATGACTTCAACAACAAAGGTTCTTTATACAGATGTTACGATGATAGGTACGGTCAACAAAATTCTGTAAGCAAGCAAGACATGTGGAAACATTTCCATCTTCTTTGCAAACTCCATAATATGTATGGATGTCCAAGAATTTTGTCTCTCGGATGTCCAAGGATTTTGTCTCTCGAATGTCCTTTAAGTAGATTGTTGTTCTTTCTTGAAATCTTTCTTGAAATTTGGAATTTCATCAAATTGTTTTTTTTTTCCTTGAAAAAGAACGTTTTACAGCAAATTCGAGCTCAACTCCAATATGATATTGCGATTTCTTTAGCTTCATTGATAGCACATGTAAACTCGTGTTTCCTATATTTTTCAAAATGGACAACTGATCCCTCTATATTATTTACTGCAATATCAAGAAGCATATATTTGGACTGTAATTTCTTACTAGCCAAATTAAATATATATAAAACTTCATGCCAAATAAACAAACTTATAATAAACTAGCGGCGGTCATGCGTTGCACGGCAACAGTAAATATTTTAAGAAAGTACTTGAACGGGTTAAGATAAAACATATACTCGGCTAACAATTAAATGAGATACAATTTAAAACAACGAATGTATTCCCATAAGTAGTTAATTTGCATATATTGATAATCGTTTGTTGTTACGAAAAGTTTGAGATGCATCAGTAATAATGTTGTTGTTATGCTATTTAGAATTCAAACGACATGTCCCACAACCATATCACTATATTGTTGTTACAAAGAGTCTGAAGATTATTTTTCCCTGAAAAAAGGGTCAGCTAAAATTAGCCAACCATATGAGTTGTTAGAAAAAGCATCATCTATCTCGTCTATATATACTCACATATTTCATACAATTTTTTTTATCTTCTCATTAATGTGGAATAACCAAACTCATCATATTTAAAGATTTAAGAATTATTTCATTCTCGTGGTGTCACCTGGTTATCTATGTTTATATATATATATATATATATATAGAGAGAGAGAGAGAGAGAGAGAGAGATATGAGCGATCAAATGCAAACCACCAAATTTGTACAAACCTTGCAAACCACCCTCATCTGTCTATTTCATTGTTTTATCGTATGAATTTTTTTAATAAAATTGTTTAATCTTGTGAAATCGTTTCATATAATACTTTTTTTGATGAAGCTGTTTCATATATGGTTATGAAATTGTTTCATATGATACTTAATAAAATTTCAATGAAACTTTTTTATGTATTTCTCTAAAATAATGAAGATGATAATATCCATGATTAACACCCTCCACAATAAAAATGATTAATCAACCTCTCATAATTACAAAAAAATGAACAAAATGAAAAATTATGATTGGTTGAATAAGGTTTGTACGGTTTGTACAAATAACGTGATTTGCAATAATATGGTGTATGATGAAAATGTGGTTGGGTTTACCATCTTGTCCTTTTCGCTATTATAGAATAAATTTTTTAATATATATATATATATATATATATATATTTTTTAATTTCCTAAAATAAACTAAACTAATATTGACAATTGATCAAGAAAATTGATTGATGAGATTGATTTACATGGTTTACACAAATTGGGGCGGTTTTCATTTGACCGCTTCTCTCTCTCTCTCTCTCTTTCTCTCTCTCTCTCTCTCTCTCTCTATATATATATATATATATATATAGGGTTGGGTTCACGTGAAATCAATATGTTTTCGTGATGCATGTGAGACCACTTTTTTACACTTGAAACTTCACAGCAAAACGCTGTGAAGGGAAAAAAAACCTTGAACCTTCACAACAAAAACACTGTAAAGGTTACCTTCACAGCGTTTTGCTATGACTTTTCAAGTGTAAAAAAGTGGTCTCACGCTTCTCATCGATAACAGAATGGTCTCACGTGATCCCAAGTCTATATATATTATTAATGTATATATGTATTTTCTGTATATGTGTAGGGGTCTAGGTGTTATTTCATATTCTTATTTAGGTATATATGTAATTTCCTTTTCCAGTATATGGAATTTTCTATAATACCTTCAATAGACAGATGTGACCAATATTGCTTAACTCATCTTCTTCAATATTCAATAGAATCTTGCTTCAACTATTCATCCTCACATGGTATCAGAGCATCAGGCTCTCATTATCGTGATCATCGCTCGTCTATCAACATCTGAGAATATGTTTTCTGACGATTGAGGTAATTGAAACCTAACCCTAATTCCTTTGTCATCGTCCTCCTAATTCTTAGACCTTCTCCGTCATCGTTTTTCTGATTCAATCGAGTCTTCTTGAATTCCTAATCGATCCCTCTCCGAAAGTGTTTTCAAGATCTTGAAAACCGAAAATTGTTATTTTCACGATTGTTTTGTTGCAAACCAAACCTCTACATCTATGGCAACTCCCTCAATAATTAAAAATCGACCTATCTCAGTGATATTAGATGGTCCAAACTATGTTTTATGGTGCCATCACATGACTATACACTTGAAGTCTCAAGGCTTATACAGTTTTGTAACTGGTGTCACACAAGTTCCAACTAAGGGAGCAAATGAAAAAGATACCGACTTTGCCAAACGGTCTGATGATTGGGACATTAAAAACGCTAAGATACTTGGATTTATTAATAGCTCTACTACTACAAAAATTCATCAACAACTACTTGGGTACACTACTGCAAAAGAGGTATGGGATTTTCTTGCCAAAAGGTTCACAACTGCAGGTCTGTCTCATCAATATCAGTTATGGTCTGAATTTCAAAGGAAGCGCCAATTACC